TTTTTTTTTTTTTTTTTTTTTTTTTTTTTTTTTTTTTTGGGACCGCAACTTAGCTAAAAAATAATGCTCAGCAGCGGACTTTGCCGCCTCGCACATTTACCGTGGCAATGCTATCGACTATGGAGACGAGAAGGCTGCCGGTCTCATCATAATACAGCTTATTCACAAGGAGTAACTGATGGATGGTAAAATACGGATCTCAGACTATCTGAGAGGAGAAGAGCTTATTGACTTTTTGGTGCAGACGGAGCTAGGCTCACGTGCTGATCATTTAGCCAAGGTAAATGTATATGTTCGCGGTCATGATGACCCTGGCTAAACTACAAAACTAGCACCCCTTTTGGCCAGACTCCAATGGGCGTCCGACATCATGGAGAGCCAATCATCTGAGGGATTCGTTGACAGATGTTGCAAATTCGAGCCAGGTGAACTACATTGAAAAGTAGGGCTGGCAGTGGTTTAGATACTTGAGCGAAGGAAGATGGGGTGCCCCGTAGCCCTCTGAACGTGGTGACAGCACCATCGGGGTTTTGCCGTGTCCTTGGATATAGGCAAATCGTGACCCGTTGTCGTATATCTCTATCCAAATGAACCTATAAATTTGCATGGCTTTGCAATCCAGTCCTCCTATGGAAGTCTCTACAGAAGCAGAGACTTGCATAAATTGGTGCTATTTATTTACTACTACTACTACTACTACTACTACTACTACTACTACTACTACCATGTATGTCGTACAACGTACATATAGCTAAGTTATCAGACAGAAACTAACTGTAGCTGCTAACTGCTGCTACTGCCACCTGCACAGCATCAAGCAAGGGTCACAAGCATGCTACCGTCACCGCCAGTCCCAACCGATGTAGATGAGGGATTTCCATCGCCAATCAATCAATCCTATTTTCTAGTTAGTAGACAACCCCGCGCCACGACAATCCAGACCAAATATGGGGTTTGGGTGAACCGCGGGACGGATCTGGACTGAACCAGAACCAGTGGTTTAGTTTAGTTTGGTTTAGTTTGTCTACTATCTGCATGCAATGCATCATTCTAGGTAAAGCTGTAAGCTGTAAGCTGCTGAAATAGTGGTAGCTCTATCAATACTGAATATCATACACCATCCAGACCATCAAATCACCGACCAGCGAATTACCCTGCCATAGTAATATGTTCATCGAAGAAAAGAAGATAATTATCTAAATTGTGACTGCGAGGCAGCAGCAGCAGCAGCAGCAGCAGCAGCAGCAGCAGCATCACCGCACCTTGCCTGCCTCGCGCACTTCATGCATAAATCCGTCCTCGTCACCCGCCGAGCCCAACATCCAGTAGTCGCCCATGCCAGACGCCAGCTGCCCCCCTCCGAACCCTGTCGCGGCCGGGGCACTGTGTCGCTCCTGCGTCCGAGTCCCCCCCTGTCGCGGTCCCCAGCTGAGTATGTCCTGCACCGCCTTGCGACTCTGGTCGTCCGGCTTGGTGTACCCAAACAGCTGGGGCTGCAAGCATCCGAGGATCGCAACGGCCGCCCGGATCATGATCCGGTCTCCTTCAAACACCCAGCAGTCCCAGACCCGGCTGAGACGCTCCAAGTCCAGCCCGTTCGTCAGCAGCGACCGGAACATCGGCTCCCAGATCTCTTCGTCGCTGAGTCGGAGCGTCTCGTGCAGATGCGTCGTCAAACGCGGGAATTTGTATTTCAGCGTCGCAGACGCCAGTGAATATGTACGACCGATCGCCCCGCGGTCCAATGTAAGAAAAGCAACAGGGAGTGGCCGGTTGAGCGCGTTGGCCATGGCCAGGAACGCCGACGATGGCGATGGGAACTGCAGGACAAGCAGGGCAGCGATGGTCTAGAATAGTTAGTGATGAATCATGGATGGCATGAAAGAGAACTCACATGCAAGCCACTGACATAGCCCACGTCGCTGCGATACATAGAGTACGCCTGCAACACATCGATCAACGTCTCGCGCAGCGGACCGCCGACTTGAAACAAGTTCAGGTCAGGGAACGCCTTGGACGCATCAGCGTCGATCGCCTCGAACCAATCCCTCATGCGCTTGTTGGTCTCCCCAGAATCGCCCTCGGGCCGCGCCCGCACGTCCTTGGCGCGCTGCAAGGCCTTTTTGTATGTTTCCTCGGAGAGAGCCAGCTCATTGCCGATGGCACGCTGCCAGGTCGAGCCCCGGATCCGAGGCGGCACTCCGCGCCACCATAACTCCCGCGTGCGGGTTTCATTAATGACATTATCCCAATTCGGGTAGACATACTCGTCCCAGATCTGCTGCAGAGTCTCGCGAGTGTTGTCTTTTTCGCATTTCGCGGAAGCAGCCTTCGCCGCACGGCGTTTATCTAGAATGGTCAGTCGTCGAAGATGGCAACGAGACAAGTCACATACCTGCTTCCTTGGCCTGCGCCATCATCCGCTTGTATTCCTTCAAATGCCGTTTCTCCTCCTTCTGGTCCTTCGGAGGCAGCCAGCTGGGCCGCGTCCGGGTCAGAACCTTCTCCTTCTCCTTGCTGGGAGGTAACGGATCAATCATGATATTGGATTTCTGCAACGGGGGCAGCTCAATGGTGCTCTTGGACCCACGCTTGGACTCCTCGCTCGAGCGGAGAGAGGACAGCCCGCTTTGCAGGCGCTCTCCCCGCTGGCGCTGGCGCTCATCGGCGTGGAACTCCAAGGCTTCCGTGATGATCTTGGCTTCTTCCGACAAATCCGACATCATGTTGTTGTACGAGTATGCTCGCGGGTTGCGGGGCGAGATCTGGCCGCGCTCAGGTCCTGCAGAGCTGGAACGATTGTTGCGGGTCGTGGGAGATCGCGAACCGGAAGGCGACCGGGGCACAGTGACATCGGATACCGAATGCGACAACGGCAGGGGTCGAGGACCTGGACTGCGACCGTTGGGGCTGGAGGCCCGGGACGGCGCTCGATCCTGCACCGGCCGCGGGGAGATGGGAACATTCCACAGACTCGCATCCTCGGGTAATTCTTCATCGGAGTCATGGTATTCATCCTCCAAATCCTGCACGGTTTTGCGCGGTCGCTGCCACGAGGGTTTCCGGTTGAGGGTGTGG